TCGAAAGGATGAAAATGTGAGGGCACAAATTTAAATGTTTTCATCAGATATAACACATTCAACAAAACATGCAGCAGACCTTAGGCAAGGCAAGTTTATTTATACAGCACCTTTCAACACAAGGCAATTCAAAGTGCTTTACAAAAATGAAAGACATTAAGAAAAAGGCATTTAAAAACAGTCATTAAAAAGCAACACAATCTACCTGCATTGCAATTACTCTAAACGTGTAATAACGTGCTTTACCCACTAGGTGGTGCGGGTTAAAAAACTGTCACGTTTACAGTGTTAACACAATAAGTTATACTATACTACTAAAATAATACTATGAAACAAAATATTACTACTAACTTTATTGTGAAATTAAAACCGAACGGTAAAAGAAAAATTCCGGTCTATTCTGAGGCCCGATCTCTGTAGATAAATAAAGACCTATGACAGATGTGTAATATTTAATGCAGCCAAACCATTTATTACAATGCATTCATGTGATGACTTTCAAAGAGTAAAGCAAGCACTGCTTAATAAAGTAGGATTTTATCTTTTACGAAACGTTTTTTTCATATGGAATACAGTCGGAGGTCAACCAATCACAGAGCTTGTGGATAATCACGGGAGCAAAGCGGACTGGTGTCGTCCCAAACGATAGCTGAGGATTATGGGTAGTGTAGTGTCTTCGGCAATCCTAAACTCCAAAAAAACTATTTGTTTCTCAGAATCGAAGGGGAAAAACACAAAAGCATTGTACACCATTTAAACCAATCAATGTGTTCCATGGAAACGGCATATGGTGAGATTTCAGATTTGGCGTAGAGCTGTGTGAGAGACGAGATGAGAGAGAGAGAGAGAGAGAGAGAGAGAGAGAGAGAGAGAGAGAGAGAGAGAGAGAGAGAGAGAGAGAGAGAGCGAGAGAGAGAGCAGAGAGAAGAGAGAGAGAGAGAGAGAGAGAGAGAAGAGAGAGAGAGAGAGATAGGAGAGAGAGAGAGAGGAGAGAGAGAGAGAGAGATGAGGGAGAGAGAGAGAGAGAGAGAGAGGAAAAAACAACACAGTTGGAGTGATGACATCATCGCGTTAATAATGGCAGTTTAACTAAAGGTGTGCTGCTGTGAGGAAATATCTGCCTGAAATTACAATGGGCTTTAATGGAGACATGTTGAACGTTTTTGTCACTTCATGCCCTCTAAAGGCAGTTTTAAAAAAAAATATGAAGGGAAATTTCAAGATTTCCTACCCTCTAGCTGTGACATAACACACTCTAACTTAACGAGCTGCGCAATGTTAAAGTTCAAATGTTAAAAATGTGATGAATTATGGGATGTATCTCTGGAATTATGAAAGTTATGAATGATAAAAGTAATAGCAGTCGATTCCCGACCGAGCTGAACGTTTTGATGTTTGAACGGAGTTTCTGCGATGTTGAATGTGGGAGGAGAAGACGGACAAAATAATTGGACGGAATAATAACTCGTTTGTCCGTAGCATAACATATAGTGGGAATGCTGTATCAGCATTCCCACAAAATAATATGAATAAAGGCCAGCAAGATTGTTCGAATGAATAGCAGCCCTGTGCGTGGTCGGTCGCATTGTAAGAAAGCAAGACAATAAATGGCAAAAATATGTAGAAAATAAACGTATTTGAGTTACGTCCAAAACAAACGTAATGTGGGAGAAAATACGTTTCTAGCTAAACGTAATTGAGAATGCTGTTGTAAATAGTCTGCTGTGTTCAGACTCAAGTCATGTGTGTGATGCCACATTCAAGACATTCAGTGTCTTTTTTTTAACAGAAGACCGTTGCTAGAAGCTGCAGCTAGACTGCAGAAGTATTAGTTTTTTGTTTTTGAGGATGGAACAATTTCACACACAGATATAGACCTATACAATTGATTTATGGTTTATAATTTAATGTCAAGACGAAGAAGAAGAAGAAAGAGATGGCTGAACTGTTCAGTGTCAATCCTGTGGAGATGGAGATGGAAGTTATAAATCTCCAAAATAATGTTCAGCTTAAGTCTCTTTAATTTTCGTAGTCTGATTTATCCATGGTGAAATGTTGTCACATTTTGTGTTTTTTGTTTTAACAGGTGCAACCCTGTCCAGTGTCTTTCTTAGGTTGCTGTTGAAGGCATCAACCATGTAATCGAGCGAGTAGTGTCCATTTCATAAATCCAGACCATTGGTAAGGTCAGCAAATCTTCGCTCAGCCGCAGAATCTAGGAACCGTTTCTTCACTTTGAGTTCCCTGTTTTTACACGATGTGCGTAATAGGGTATCAAATAGCTCTTTTATCTTGCCTAATTGCCTGCAAGAATTTATAATTTGGAGGACATGTTTCTAAAAGAGTAGCAGCCCCATCGTCTTTTAGCCAAGTTTCCACAAGAAACATGAAGTGTAATTTATTCTCAGAAATAAAATCATTAATTAAAAAACTCTTATTCTTGATTGATCGAACGTTTAGGAGTGCCATGTTGATGAGCTTGTCTGACTTATTTTGAGTAGTTGGTGCTACTGGTATGATTATTAGGTTTGAACTGTGTATTGATTTAGCAGAGCTCACTGTCCTGTCCTGCAGGCAAACCCGCTGCGCGACGCCGACCAGGGAACTGATGTGTTAGGGAGGAAATCCCCTGGAACTCTCAGCGGCTGACCGTAGACCATCTCAGCCGTGGAACACTGCAGATCTTCCTTAGGCGCGGTCCGCAGGCCCAGCATTACCCAAGGCAGCTTGTCGACCCAATTGCCGTCCTTCAGGCCGGCTCTGTGTGCTGCCTTCATGGAGCGATGGAAACGTTCACAGAGGCCGTTAGCCTGAGGGTGATAAGCGGTTGTCCTGTGACAAACGGCAGGTCCCGTAGCACCGAATCCATCAGGCGCTGGAACGTTTGAGCGGCGTTCTTGAGCCCAAAAGGCATCCGCAGGAACTCGAAAAGTCCAAACGGCGTTATCACTGCCGTCTTGGGAACGTCCAGGGGATGCATGGGCACCTGGTGGTATCCGCGCACCAGGTCCACTTTAGAAAACACCAGCGTACCGGCCAGATGTGCTGAAAAGTCTTGAATGTGCGCCCCTGCACGGGCGCCAACCGCCGTTCGGCTTGGGAACGACGTGCAGAGGAGAGGCCCAAGGACTGTCAGACCAGCGGACGATACCCAGGCGTTCCATGGTTGAAAACTCCGCCCTCGCTACTGCAAGCTTAGAAGGGTTCAACCGCCGGGCCCTGGCGTAGACTGGGGGACCTTCGGTGGTGACGTGGTGCTCCACCCCATGCTTGGTGGTGAGCGCGGAGAAGGTGGGTAGCGTCAGGTCTGGAAATTCAGCCAACAGCCTGAGAAAAGTGTCCGCCCCCGACAGCCCCGACAGTGAAGAATGCCGCCTTGCCAATTGTACACACGAGGGAGGAAAACGTCAAGGCATCAACCAAGCGTTTCTTTTTAACGTCCACCAGGAGTCCATGAGCACATAAAAAGTCTGCCCCGAGGAGGGGAAAAGAAATGTCTGCCGTCACAAAATCCCAGTTGAACCACTGTCCTCCAATACACAAACACATAGGCCATTTGCCATGGCGTGGGGGGTCTGCGATAACTCCCATCAACCTGGATGACGTGGAGCTTCCCATCGCTGCTACCACGTGGAAATATTTCAAGTCCTCGTCACGGACTTGCCGGGAGGCAAAGTGTGCCTCCACGTGTGCGAACCACGCCGCAGCAGCATGCTCCCAAAACTCCGGCAGTTTAACAAAAATATCGCGATCAGCCATGTTCATTAAAGCTGGCTACACACCAACCCGATTTTGGGAGTCAGAGGCCGTCAGAGGCAGTCGGGCATTCGCGGCGCCCTACTCAGGTTGGTGTGTCCCACACCGTCGTCTCTTTACGGCACCTTTTCACATCTCCCACGGGAGGTCAGAGAAAGTCGGCCCAAGCAATCACTCTGATTGGCTGTTCACACTACCGCTGCCTGCTGGTAAGGATAGTTATTGCCACTCGTCGACTGAAGTATTTGCGGTGTGTTCGTAAGCGGGCGGCGTAGTGGGCGACGCAGGCGACGTAGCTGACGTAAAAGTCGGGACGCCTTCGGTACGCATTCTTTGGTCTCAGATGGGTGTGTAGTGGCCTTAAGTCTTCGGAAACTTTCACGAAAACGTCAGGGTCACCAATGTAGAGCCGATGAAAGGGAGTCAGAGGCGGTGTGTTCAGTATGGAACTCCACACGTTATTATCCATTAATCAAGACAAGTTAAGTACATGTCAGATCCATGGAGGCCCCCACCTTGCAACTGACAGGACTTAAAGGACCTGCTGCTAACGTCTTGGTGCCAGACTCCACAGCACACCTTCAGAGGTCAAGAGTCCATGCCCCGACGAGTCAGGGCTGTTTTGGCTGAAAAGGGGGGTCCTACACAATATCAGGCAGGTGGTCATAATGTTATGGCTGATCGGTGTATAGTGGTGTGGTGAGATGAAGATGGACATTTTTGGCCAACATTTAAAGCCCAAACCTAACATTTGCATACGCCTCAAGAAAAACTGTCCCTACAGTGAAGTATGGTGGGGGCTGCATGACATAGGTTGTATCCATCATGTTGTACCGAGTGCTAGTCCTACCATTACAAAACCTAATCACCACTTCTGACTCTGAAATCATCCTGCAGTTTAAAGCCAACTCTGACACAGAATGATTCAATTTGCTTCGATTAGCATTAAGAGCAAGTGCAATAAATAAACATTGCCATGGAGTTTTAATACTGTTACTCACATTTGTATTTAAGCAGCTGTATTCATACCAGCCCAGATACAACCCAATAATTAGCATGTGTTTAAAAAGCTGCCTGAAGACCACAGAGGATGCCGACCACAATTTAGAACATTTACAAGCAAAAAAAGATAAAATAAACAGGTATTATTCATCACAACCTGGCAACTATTGTGTTCCTATTATTGACTTAATAAAGGGTGCCATATTAGTAAAAAAAAAAAAAAAAAAAAGAAGCAAGACAAGTGGCTTAAATAATATTTATTGGCTCATTCAAAATACTGTACATTATGTTGCATGAAGCAAATTAAGGATGCCAATAGGATACAATTAATCAGGTGTAAACAGGCTTGAAACGTTTCACTGTTAGGCTCTGATATTTGACGGGGCCTCAGAAAAAGATTGTGTAAATGAATGGAGCAGTTAAGTCCCCGACTAATGTCATAAACACTAATGAGTACAGTCTCTTCAGAAGGAGGAAAAACAATAAACACATGCACAGGGGAAGCAAAACAGTTCAACAGCATACTGGAGGCTCACTGTCCTGTTCCAGCGTCTCCAGAACCAGGCCTCATGCAATTATAGATGCTGAGACACCAGCATGTCACCACTATGGGAGACTGGGATTTCCCATGCACTTATGGGCACCAGTTACAATATGACCAATCAATAAAAGATGGGCAACCAAAAGAAAAAGAGAAATTCAATTTAAACTTGACAAAAGCACTTTATAGGGAATTGAAAAAAGAACAATATTCATACAAAACATTAGTCCATTAACTTAAACTGTTAAGTGCCTTTCATACACCTGATCAAGTCATTTAAAAGCTTTCACCACCAGAGGTGACGTTGAGAATAACTGGAGCACAGAGAAAGCAGACGCTGCTGTTCATCCGGCGGACACAGCAGGAGGCCGGGCGCTCTGTTGGGACCGGAACAATTACCTCCTGTCTATCTGCATACGAACTTAAGTTAACAGGTAGTAAGAAAAAAAAAAACTGAAAATATTTCCTCCCTAAGCCAAAAGTCTGGGCATTTCGGTAGGCGTGTGTTCCTGAAGATAAACACCTGATGCAGAGGGGAGGAGGAGTTTAGCCAAGGATCCGTGTAACCAACAAACCAAGACTATCATGTGGCCTTCCCCAATGAACACATGTTGTTGCTAATCTAATACTGCTAGCCCCCCCCCTCATTCCATTCACGGTGAATTTGGTGCTGTGCCTAACAACCCTCAGATTTCTGACAGAGTGACGCGAAAGGATTCCGCAGAGCTCTCAACAGCTAGGATGAAGGTGTCCTCGTTGGAGTAGTGCTGGATCATGTTGTCGTCCATGTTCACCAGGACCCTGAGGGACAGGAAACACATCTCAGACCAGAGGCCCCGTTACTTTGAGGCAAAGTCTACAGTGAACAGCGCTTCTAAGGTCATCTGCATATCTATTTCATTTCATCCCATGAATGGTAATGTTGGTCTGTAGGTCGTTACATGAATTTGGTTAAGACTGAAATATGTCAATCACTTGGGGAAGATGGGACAGTATGAGAGTACAGCAATGAAATACTGTACGTAAATACAGGTTTGAGGTACATGACCAGGGACTACATGTACTGCTATTCAATACTTCTACAGTTCAGAAGCAAATATTGTTATTTTTACTACATTTATTTCACAACACTTTTTTTAACTTGTGTAAATGTAACAGGTTACCAGGCAGTATATAGATAAACAAAAAAGTAATTAATGCATCGGAACTCATATATGGGCCATTGTGTATAATGAGTACATTTTACATTTTAAAGCTAAAACTTTTGTACTTTAATTTAGGTCCAATTGAATATGTAAATGCAGTACTTTTACTTGTAACAGAGTATATTTACACTGTTGTACTACCTATTTTACTTATCCTGTCTTTTAAGTATAATATCCACCTATGCATTATAACCTCAAAACTCACGACATCCCATCATCCTCAGCTACCTTTGTATTTAGTGCTACTCAGCAAATGTTAGCTAACAATGAAAGCAAATATGGAGAACACGTTAAACCGTATAACTGCCAAATGCTCGTGTTAGCATTTAGCTCACTCACCCTTTTTTGCTTTTCTGGTAAACTCTGGCCTTCTTGTCAATAGGTAGTGCGTATTTCTCTGAGATCTGAGAGACATTAAAAAACACTATGAAGCCCTACATGTTTATTACAATCTTAAAAATAATTGTATTGATGATATGGGGCAAAATGGATGTAGCTGTGTTCCATTATTCAGACAAAAGCAGCGGAACAATATTTTGCTAATACTCACGGCCTCCATCAGTGCGTTAAGGGTTGGGGAGCGCAGCATTAAGGCATCAAACACTTCATCACACTCCTTCCTCACGTACAGCAGGACTGATGAGTAATGAATGAAGAAAGCATAATAACTTTTTCATTCAGACAAAAAAAATAAGGTATGAGACCAAAATCCTGTAATGAGAAAAGAGCGACATTTACACACCTCTCCTTTGCAGATCCACTTTGGGTTTCTTAGGCTGAGGCACACAGACATCCTCCTCAGCAACACATGCCATTCTCTTCATGGGAGTACTAAACACACACACGGGCACGCACACGTTATTTGAGGTCTCATATGGACAATCGTAAACAATCCCAAATTCATGCAAATCCAAAAGATCTTCAAACCAGAAGTGTGAAAATAACAGTAGATATGATTCTTACCGATCTCTGTTCGCCTCTTCACTGTTAAAAGCGAACACCTGTAAATGGAGTTAAAGAGGAAATGTTCTGCTGATGTTCAGGTGTATATCAGTATGTAGTGTCTCTACTTTAAAGAGTCCTCTCCTGCTGATGTTCAGGTGTATATCAGTATGTAGTGTCTCTACTTTAAACAGTCCTCTCCTGCTGATGTTCAGGTGTATATCAGTATGTACTGTAGTGTCTCTACTTTAAAGAGTCCTCTCCTGCTGATGTTCAGGTGTATATCAGTATGTAGTGTCTCTACTTTAAAGAGTCCTCTCCTGCTGATGTTCAGGTGTATATCAGTATGTAGTGTCTCTACTTTAAACAGTCCTCTCCTGCTGATGTTCAGGTGTATACCAGTATGTAGTGTCTCTACTTTAAAGAGTCCTCTCCTGCTGATGTTCAGGTGTATATCAGTATGTAGTGTCTCTACTTTAAAGAGTCCTCTCCTGCTGATGTTCAGGTGTATATCAGTATGTAGTGCCTCTACTTTAAAGAGTCCTCTCCTGCTGATGTTCAGGTGTATATCAGTATGTAGTGTCTCTACTTTAAAGAGTCCTCTCCTGCTGATGTTCAGGTGTATATCAGTATGTAGCAGAGGTGGGAGTAAGTCCTACATGTGCAAGTCATGAGCAAGTCTCAAGTCTTGACCTACAAGTATCAAGCAAGTCCCAAGTCACTGTGGTGAGAGTCAAGCAAGTCAAGTCAAGTCATTGCTCAGGTCAAGTCAAGTCAAGTCATACGAAATTCTGATGAATAAGCCCAGTTTCCGCATTTAAATCAGTTAAAAGACAGTGGTTATGAAAATGGATTTAACCCACACTATGATCTTCATTACATACACAGTTAATCATTTGAAATCTAATTTAGACCGATGACAATCATATTAGATTCATATTAACCCTAGAACTGCAGACAATATAGCTAGGATTTAAAACTCAGTTCATTGGGTTAATTTTTGAAATTGCTTCAGTTTATCATCATAACAGATCAAAAAGTTCAGATTCATTTTACAATAAATCAAGGAGTGATGCACTTCTACAAACAAAAACAACATAATTAAAACATTTAAACAAACTACTAAAAGTAGATGAACTACATTATTCAAAAGTTTACAGTAACTTCTGATAATAACACAGGGGAAATAAACGAGGCATCTCTTTTCCTCTCTCTCTCTCCCTCTCCTGACAGCCCGTCAGTATCAGGGTTAGTCAAAATGAATCCCTTGGCGTGTTCATTTACCGTTTTGTCTTCTCTTTGTAATGCTTAATCGATTTGAAACCAAGTCTAACGTAGCTTAAACTTAACGTTAGCTTTCTAGCTAACACAACACATTCACGCACCTTTCTCTGAGGGTTTTTTTGTAGTGACGAATGAAGTTGGATGTTGTGGTGGTCGTGTCACTGATCTTTATGCTGCAGACCCTGCATACCGCTGTTCTCTTCTTATTAGCGTCATCGACAACATAATCCTTGAATCCAAACTTGACTATTTGTGGAGTAACGCTAGCCGCTGCCATGTTAACTGACACTCCTGCGGTCTAGTGGGTTGCCAGGTTTGCGCGCACGGCGCTATAATCACCCAATCACATTTTTCGAAAAAACTAAACGTAATATCTCACTACAAAAACAAACGCAAATATTTAATTTTAAACAGTCAAGTCCTTTCAAGTCATCTGTCTCAAGCTTAAGTCAAGTCTCAAGTCATGAATACCAAGTCAAAGTCAAGTCAAGTCTTTTATCAATGTTAGTCAAGCAAGTCTCAAGTCCAAAAATATGCGACTCGAGTCTGACTCGAGTCAAGTCATGTGACTTGAGTCCCCACCTCTGGTATGTAGTGTCTCTACTTTAAAGAGTCCTCTCCTGCTGATGTTCAGGTGTATATCAGTATGTAGTGTCTCTACTTTAAAGAGTCCTCTCCTGCTGATGTTCAGGTGTATATCAGTATGTAGTGTCTCTACTTTAAAGAGTCCTCTCCTGCTGATGTTCAGGTGTATATCAGTATGTAGTGTCTCTACTTTAAAGAGTCCTCTCCTGCTGATGTTCAGGTGTATATCAGTATGTAGTGTCTCTACTTTAAAGAGTCCTCTCCTGCTGATGTTCAGGTGTATATCAGTATGTAGTGTCTCTACTGTGACACGTCTCCATGCCTTAATGTTCAAAAAGCTCGATAATTTTTTTCTTCCACCGCTTTTCACCCTCTCTCTGAAACCAGAGCCAGTGTGTGTGTGTGTGTGTGTGTGTGTGTGTGTGTGTGTGTGTGTGTGTGTGTGTGTGTGTGTGTGTGTGTGTGTGTGTGTGTGTGTGTGTGTGTGTGTGTGTGTGTGTGTGTGTGTGTACACTGTGACAATTATTAGACAAGTGAGTATTTTTTCATGCAAATTGTCCAGCTCCAAGCTGTATGAACTTGAATTCATATTGGATTTAACCATATCAGCTGATGTGTATCTGTATAATGAGGGAGGGTGTGGCCTATGGAGGTCAACACCCTATATCAAGGTGTGCAGAATTATACACACAGCTCCACTTCGACACCAAAAAGTTGGAGGTGGGGATCTGGTATGGGCTGGTAATATTAAAGATGAGCTAGTTGGACCTTTTCAGGTTGAAGATGGACTCAAAATCAACTCCTGAACCTACTGCCAGTTTTTAGAAGACACTTCCTTCCATCAGTGGAACAGGAAAAGGTCTGCATCTTTCAGGAAGACCATGATTTTATGAAGGATAATGCTCCATCGCATGCAGTACTCCACTGTGTGGCTAGCCAGTAAAGGCCTTAAAGATGAAACCCTTCCTCACCTGACCTAAACCCTTCCTCGCCTCACCTGACCTAAACCCTTCCTCACCTGACCTAAACCCTTCCTCACCTGACTTTTCCTGTTAAGCCCTGAGCCTGTTTTTCAGGTCTCAGGCTCGAAAATGACATTCCCAGAACAAATGACCATATCTTCCCTTCTAAAAGGGTTAAATTAATAATCTTTTTTCTCAAAGTAATGATAAACCTGTGAGTTGGATGTAGAAAAGTCAGAATCAATATAGATGTTTTTTATTTTAAAGAAAACTCTGATTTTACATAGTAAAAAACTGTAAATTATAGTGTCCGTCCAAAAATTCTTTTTTACTTATAGTGAAAACTACCCTTGGATGATGGGTTAGTAGACTAAAAGCTTTAGGAATCCAAAGTACAACATATAATAAGTACCCTGTATCAAGATTGATGCAAAACAAGTGACATTTGACCTTTTTAAGAGAGATTTAGCCAAAAAACCCCACTTCTGGGGTCATTTGGGTGGATTTGACCTATCTCTGGCCCCCCTTACTCGATTTTGATGAATGAAATCTCTTTATAACCGCTAGAGCCAATGGAATCGAGGGAAAGTTATATACACACCAAAACGTTAACAAATAAGGAGTGAGAGTGACGCGTTACCAAAACCGGAAGCTGCATGCATGGTGGCTACCATTAGACGATCTGCCGTAAAAGCTCCGTAAAGGTACGTGTTGTGATGTCTGTGTTTGCTTCCCCTGTCGCAAGTTCGGATCGCTCAGTGATGATACTATACCTAAATAATCTGTGGAGTCTCAGCTTTAATCGGATATATTGTATGTGCAGCTACGATAAGTAATAAGGGTATCTTTATCTTGAATTGTGTGCCAAAGTCAGTTTGCATTTTTTCGCTCAGGGGTCATTTAGACGCTTCTTATGAGACTTGTGTTTTGTTTTGGTAAAAATGGTTCATATCTTCAGTTAGCTGAGATTCTTCCCGTTAATCTGGTGCTACACATTAATAGTTTCATAAATGTTAAGAAGCCCTGAGACATTGTCTCGAAAAAAAAACGGTGGGAGGGGTCCAATGGGGGGACCGCCGTGCTTAAGAGGTTAAACCCTTCCTCGCTTGACCTTAACCCTTCCTCATCTGACCTAAACCCTCACCTGACCTTAACCCTTCCTCACCTGACCTTAACCCTTCCTCATCTGACCTTAACCCTTCCTCATCTGACCTAAACCCTTCCTCATCTGACCTAAACCCTTCCTCACCTGACCTAAACCCTTCCTCATCTGACCTAAACCCTTCCTCACCTAACCTAAACCCTTCCTCATCTGACCTAAACCCTTCCTCATCTGACCTAAACCCTTCCTCACCTAACCTAAACCCTTCCTCATCTGACCTAAACCCTTCCTCATCTGACCTAAACCCTTCCTCACCTAACCTAAACCCTTTCTCACCTAACCTAAACCCTTCCTCATCTGACCTTAACCCTTCCGCACCTGACCTAAACCCTTTCTCACCTAACCTAAACCCTTCCTCATCTAACCTAAACCCTTCCTCATCTGACCTAAACCCTTCCTCATCTGACCTAAACCCTTCCTCATCTGACCTAAACCCTTCCTCATCTGACCTAAACCCTTCCTCACCTGACCTTAACCCTTCCGCACCTGACCTAAACCCTTCCTCACCTGACCTAAACCCTTCCTCACCTGACCTTAACCCTTCCGCACCTGACCTAAACCCTTCCTCACCTGACCTAAACCCTTCCTCATCTGACCTAAACCCTTCCTCACCTGACCTAAACCCTATAGAGAACATGTGGGCCCTTCTTAAAGGGAGATTTACAGTGAAGGAAACTCCTCTCTGAACAGAGTCTGGGAGGCTGTGGTTGATCGTCAACAGATCCAGAAACTGACAGACTCCATCAATGCGAGGCTTGTGACCAGTGTTTCCGCCAGACCAGGGCTGAGAGGGCGGGGGGGGGAGGTGACATCACGCGACTTGAATTTTTAATTGAGCCGTCCCTTATAGATAATATCTCTTTACGTTAGTGATGGCCGATGTCGGGGAAACGATCTTCAATACTCCAAAAAGAATCCCACCAGGCTCCTTTGCCCCTCCAACAGAGGAATGTCCTTGTCCTTTTTCCTTTTCGTCATTTCAAGCGATAAAAACTCTTCTTTTTTTTTGGACGCCCAATGACGGCAAGATGCCCCCCTGGCGGAAACACTGCTTGTGATTGTTATTGAAGAAAAGGGTGGCTGTATTGGTAAATGATTATTTATTTTTTAATCTCGGAAATGTTTATTTGTACATTTTGAGTTGTTTGTTTATTATTCTCACTTTAATAAAAGGGAAAATAAACAAGTGAGATGGGAACATTTTCGTTTTTCCTTAAGTTGCATATTAATTCTGAACACCAATAGTGGCCCAATGACTGTGCAGACATACAGCTCTGGAAAAAAGAGACCACTCCGAATTTTTCTTAAATCAGCATCTCTAAATGTATGGCAGCCATTCCATAAAAGTGTCTGTTGAATTCCAACACAAGCACACCTCATGAGGTACTGAATTAAAGAGGAAAAGTATAAAAAACACTGCTGTGGTCATCCCTATCCTCTTGCCATAGGATCAGCTAGATGGCAAAAACAGTAGTACTACCTCAAAAGTATTCGAAATTTAAAAAAAACGATTGACCATGCCTAAAGAGTTGAAAAGAGACGTTTTGAGTGAGGAAAAAGAAGGGTTCAATTCTGGTTTTACTGGCAGAGGGATACAGTTAGCGTTAGGTTGCTTCCATCCTTGAAAATTCAAAGACAGCGGTTCATAAGAACAAGGTCAAGCAGCAGACATTGGGGACAACAAAGCTACAGACCGGCAGAGGGCGAAAACAACTCTCCATTGACCATGATGACCGCCAACTAGGGCTGTGCGATTATGGCAAAAATCATAATCACGATTATTTGGGTCAATAATTGATATCACGATTATTAAATACGATTATTCATTGACTTTGAAAACGTCCATTTATTGAACTTTAAAACAAATTAAAATAATAATTTGAACAGTATCTGTTTAACTGTTGATTACCCTGAACGTATAATTCAACTGAAAAACCAATAAATTAAATAAATGATACATTTATATCTACATTTAAATAAATAATATCAAAATAATAAATACCAATAAAAAAAATCAACAAATATTTTGGAGCGCACTTCAACAAGCTACTAAACATATATAAATTAGATCAAATATGTTGCAGTGCACTGTCACAACCTAGCAAAGCAAAATAATCGTTTTTTTCGATTATGTTGTTTTTGTAATTGTGGCAGGCCAAAATCGTAATTGCGATTAAAAAACGATTAATTGCACAGCCCTACCGCCAACTCTTTCGAATGTCACTCAACACCCGTAGGATGACATCAAGTGACCTACAAATAGAATGGCCAACGGCAGCTGGGGAGAAGTGCACAGCGAGGACGGATCAAAGCAGGCTGAAGTCTCACAGAGCTAGAAACAAGCCCTTCATCAATGAGAAGCAAAGAAGAGCCAGGCTGCAGTTTGCAAAAGACCAGAAGGATTGGACCGTAGAGGACTAGAGTAAGGTCATCTCCTCTAATGAGTCAAATGTTCATCTTCGTTCGACACCTGGTCGGTGGAGGATCAGTGGCGATCAGGGGGTGCTGGAACAGGGCAGATTTCTCTTTGTGAAGGACGCATGAATCAAACCAGGTGCAAGATTATCCTGGAAGAAGTCTTGCTTCCTTCAGCTCGGAAAATGTTCCCCAACTCTGAGCATTGGTTTTTCCAGCAGGACAATGCTCCCGTCCACACAGGTCGATTAAGGTGTGGATGGAGGATCACCCGATCAAGACCCTGTCATGGCCAGCCCAATCTCCAGATCTGAACCCCATTGAAAAACCTCTGGAATGTGACCAAAAGGAAGATGGATGGGCCATCAAACAAAGCCCAGCTTTTTTAATTTTTGCGTCAGAAGTGGCATGAAGTCCTCCAAAAGCAATGTGAAGGACTAGTCGAAAGCAGGCCAAGACACATGAGCAGTGATTAAAAAGATATAGAGCAAAAAAATAAAAACATAAATGTGCATTTTACTCAAAGACATACCTATAAATAACACAAAACAGCGACTGATAATGCTGCAGTGGTCTCTTAATTTTTTCCAGAGCTGTAGATATTCTCTTAAGAAAGCACTGTATTTGTGTGCGTGCAGGCGTGCGTGTGTGTGTGCGTGTGTGCTTGTATGTCCCTCACCTGTCCAGCTCTCTGCAGGTTTCCAAAGTGCACGTCAGGAATGAAGAGCACAGGCTGGGAATCCAGGTCCAGCAAGGCTTTAAACAGCGTGCTGTCCGCCCTCTGGAAGGGGGTGGTCTGCCCTGAGTTGCCATTTTTCCCTATTCAGACAGAGTGTGAACTCGCATCTGTTGCCAGGCAACCATTCAAATTACAGAGTACCAAATGTTTGTACCCTTCATCTTCTTCCTGAGCTGCTTCTTCTCTTCATCACGAAGCTTCCTCTCAGCGCCCTGCAAAAAGCACGAAGGACAGAACATGAGAGGATGCTCATGGAGTTCCAATAGAGGGTCCACAGTGACCTCACCTTGTCACAGAAAACCTTGATCTGAGCGAAGGCCCTGTGGATGGGCCTGCTGCTGCAGCTGCTGTAGCTGTAGCTGTCCACCTGGATGATCAAAGGCATGCCCTTCACTCCTTTCTGTGACGAGAAGTCTGTGCTCAGACAGTTCACTGAGATAAACACCTGGGGGGGAGGGGGGCAGAGAGGTATACACAGGTCAGCTTCTGGAGATCAATCTGCAGAGGGAAAGATTGCCGTGCAGCTCAACTATTATGAAATAAGTGTATATATATATATATATATATATATATATATAAAACTTAATTAAAATATGTTTCATAACAACAAATCTGCTTAAATATTTTAGTAATTCCATATAATAAAATACACATTGAGTTATCCATACTTTCATTCATAACATCTATCCATACATGGTAAGTATAATATCAATCAAATACTTTATCAATCACAGAGAGAGACTAGGTTTTGTGACAGTTGCAACATATTAGAATTACATTGATGACTATTTGTTTATACGTAAGTGGAAGTAAAAACATGCAATAAAAGTCAGATAAATCTTTATGAATGTACAAACATTTTGGTTTTAAATGAATGTAAGAAAAAACTATTTTATAGTATTTTAAATGATTTTTATATACAAGCTGGTATAAACAGTTGAGTTAGTTGGCTAGAGTAATTTTACATTTCCCCGCTGTGAGACTAATACATTATTTCTAATTCTGATAATATACAGTTATAGTTTGCTAAAAGTAATGCAGATTGAACTGTCCATGCTCAGCAATAAGCTAGTGGTGTGCAGCTTTTAAAATGTCCTGTGTCATTATCTATGAAATCACTATGTATTCTGACCATAGTCACTGTTGTACTGTCATTATCTATGGCACAGGCCAACATACAACTGAGAACTAAGTAACTTTGCAAACAGAAAACTCTCACAGCAGAGGTGTGAAGCTACACCTTGCAACAAGCTAAACTACAGAACACACAATAGAGTGATAACACTGATAGACAGAGAATATATAAAATATATATTACAGAAACACTACAGAGCTGTTGGATCTGAACAGTGAGTTATCCCACAGAGGAGGTTTAAAGACTAATCCACTGCATTTTCTCAAAAACAACCCTGATTCAGTAGTTATTTAAAGCCAGCCCCTCTACTTCACATCACACATGAGGGAACAGATCCCCATGATGAGGAGGCCTGATGATTTTCCAGTTAAACAAGAACGTTAGATTCCTCACCGCGGCTCATCAGCAGATTCCCACTACGCAGCATCAACAACATCGTGCCTAAACCTGCAGAGGTGAGGGCTGTGAAGGCCTGCAGCACAAAGAAACTCTACACACCTCCACAGACACACACCTCCACAGACACAGAGCATTGGACGTGTTGCTGCTAGCTATGTGTGTAGTGTGTGTGTGTGTGTGTGTGTGTGTGTGTGTGTGTGTGTGTGTGTGTGTGTGTGTGTGTGTGTGTGTGTGTGTGTGTGGCTTGTAGTATTGCATGTTTGAGCTATCAAATACCTTCCTAAAAAGAGAATGGCTCTGATAAGTGTCTGTCAGTGCCAGGCACAAACAAGCAAACAAACAAACATTACATGACATTGCATTTAGCTGACGCTTTTATCCAAAGCGACTTACAATAAGTGCATTCCACCAAGAAGATACAAACTTGAAGAAAACAGAATCATATAAGTACATCAGGTTTCATAGAGCCAAAACATTTCAAGTGCTACTCAACTAGCTTTAGATAAGCCAGTCCTTTGTTAGTATATTAGTGCTTTGTTAGTAATTGTATTGCTTGAAGTGGAGTCGAAAGAGATTAGTTTTTAGTCTGCGCCGGAAGATGTGCAAGCTTTCTGCTGTCCTGATGTCAATGGGGAGCTCATTCCACCATTTTGGAGCCAGGATAGCAAACCCACGTGTTTTTGCTGATGGGAACTTGGGTCCCCCTCGCAGACAAAACAAACAAACAAACAGACTGTTATGGCGCATTTCCACTGCAGGGCCTCGCACGGCTTAGTACGGTATAGTTAGGCCTTGGTAGGCTAGGCTCACTTTATGCTTCGTTTCCATTACAGTTTAGGAACTGGGGTAGTAACTATAGTAACGCAGTGTAGGCGGAGCCGTGAAGTCATCTTCAATGCGAAACACAAAACCAACATCAGCCGTTAGCTGTTAGCACTCAGAGCTCACTGCTCCTCATATCTGTTCAGAAACTAGACAAAAGTTAAACAAGTTTGCAGATCTCCATTCAGAAAACGCGCATTTTAAAAGGTTTTTCGCCTGCCGTCTGTCTGCAGACTTGTCAAAACATTAATTCATGGTTTTTACTAACCGGTATCAGTATGTTGTTACTTCGGCATCATTTTTAAACGTGTATTACAATTAAATCACGGTCAAATATGTTCATTTTGTTGTAGTTGTAGCCCCCTTGCAAGCGATTCTCTCACTAGTTTAGCATACTCAGCCCGGTTGTTGGCCCGGAAAGAACCTGGATTTTGGAGAGCCAGAAAAACTGTGAAACAGTACCTGTTAGCCGGAACTACCCCTAGTGGAAACGCAACAAAAAACGGGCCGGGTTTGGCACGGCACGCTTAAACCGTGCTACGCGCTGCAGTGGAAATGCGCCATTACAGAAGGAAGCACCTCCGCTCCCCTACCAACACATTTCACACTCCAATAAAATGATGATGGTGATTGCTGTTGCTGAGCAACAGAGACCTGACACAACAAAACTGATCATTTGCAACAAAAATACCAATTCTGTTCATCAGCACATCAGAGACTGATTAGACATCCTATTCTGTTAGGAAACCCGAATTTCCAGGTAGTATAACAGAGAGAAAGAACTATAACAGAGACATGATCTACTGGGATTTTCAGGAGCAGAAGACCACACCGGGTGCCACCCTTGTCAACTAGGAACAGGAAACTGAGGCTACAATTTGCACGGGCTCACCCAAATTTGACAATAGAAGATTGGAAAAATGTGGCCTGGTCTGATGAGTCTCGATTTCTGCTGGGACATTCGGACGGTAGGGTCAGAATGTGGCGTAAACAACGTGAGAGCATCGATCCATCCTGCCTTATCAACGGTTCAGGCTGGTGGTGGTGGTTAATGGTGAGGGGGCTATTTTCTTGGCATACTTTGGGCCCCTTAGTACCAATTGAGCATCGTTTAACGCCACAGCCTACGTGAGTATTGTTGCTGACCATCAGGCCTGCCCCAACAACATGGCCAACTTGGGGCCCTACGCGAAATTATGTCATGAGGCCCCCGGGTCTGTACACAACGCGTCACTCACCTGTCGCGAGCAGGGGGGGGGTAGAGTGTTAGCCCCGGAGCCTCGCTGAGGAGAAACCAAGGCCGGATTAACCATATGGGCAACCTGGGCAAGTGCCCAGGGGCCGTTGAGCAAGGAGGGCCCTCGGTGACAAGATGAAAAAGAAAAAGAATTTTTTTAATTTTTTTTTTTTTTTCGGGCACAACCTCACTCATCATACATTGTTTTAAATGACACTCACTCTCTGTAAACCGTCTCTGTACTGTAGGTCTCACTATGTATGCGCTCAACTTTATTACTACGCGGCGGCGGTGTATAGCCGAATCACAGCCCCACCCTCACTCATGTCACATTTTGTCACGTGAGCAGAAGAAATGGATGGTGCCGGTAGCCAAACGCCCAGCGGGGCTAAGAAAAGAAAGAAAAAGAAAGAAAAAGAAGAGAGAGTGGCGGCTGCATTAAAAAATGTGCTAACAATAAATAGCTTTTTCAAAAAAGCAAAAAGTGACGAAATAGGCCAGCAACAACCACAAGGAACAGTGGCGGCGGTCACGGAGGATGTTGTTGAGCTAGCGAGCAATGTTAGCCTTGAACCTAGCATGCTAACGCAGCGGGTAGAAGAGGAGGAAAAAGATGAAGACGAGCCTGACGAGGACGTCACAGAGCAGGGTGAAGGATCGAGTTCATCGGAAGTTCCCTGTGTCTCTCAGGACCCTGCACAATGGGGATTCATTGCTGGAAATGTCCGGGAGGAGACTTTGATGAAAGCGGTTTCATACTTTCATAATCGGGCAACGAAGTATCCAGCATCTAGGAGGGAGACCGATGCTAGCGGCCCGACACGCTCACTGACCAACGATATGCTGACCAGACAGCTTCACAATGGAGAAATCGTTCAACGCGATTGGATTATTTATTCTCCATCTACCGGAGCAATTTATTGTTTTGCCTGCAAACTTTTATCCACTCACAGCCACAGCAATGCATTTGTTCTCGGCTTTAGTGATTGGAAGCATCCCGAGAGGATAACAGAACATGAGACGAGTGGTGAGCACAGAAAATGCATACTTTCACTTATGCATCGCACTAAACTCATGGGCACTGTGGATGCTTCTCTAGGGATGCAGGTCGACACAGAAAGTCAGTGCTGGAAGGATGTATTGAGACGTGTAGTTGATTACATTCTTGAGAGAGAGGGGGCTTCCTTTCCGGGGAAATGACGAACTTTTAGGATCCGCACATAACGGGAACTACCTGGGAACCCTGGAGCTGCTCGCGCAGTTTGATCCATTTTTAAAGGATCATTTGCAGAAGTTTGGCCAGAAGGGACGTGGTAGGACTTCATACTTGTCATCAACTATCTGTGAGGAGTTTATTGGTTTGATGGGTGACAGAACAAAGGAAGCAATAGCAACAGAACTACAGCGAGCAAGGTATTTCTCTGTCATCGTAGATTCTACACCTGACATGTCTCACGTCGACCAATTAACTTTTGTTTTCCGATTTGTGAGTGAGAAAGGAAAAGTTATTGAGAGATTTATTGGATTTGAACCCATTCACAGTCACACTGGGTCAAGTCTGGCTGACTGTGTGATGAAGATGGTCATTGATATGGGGCTGGATCTCTCAAACTGCCGTGGCCAGGCTTATGACAACGCATCCAACATGTCAGGAAAATATAATGGGCTGCAAGCTTATCTCAAGAAAAGCAACCCACTCATACATTACATTCCGTGCGCAGCACACTCCTTGAATTTGGTTGGTGTCAACTGTGTTGAAAATAGTTGTCGTGAAGCAAGCCAGTTTTTTGATATACTTCAAGCACGTTATGCTTTTTGCTCTGCTTCTACCCACCGATGGAATAAAGTGTTC